TACAGAGTGCGTACATTTTTTCAGATTCCTAAAACGGTAAAATGTAAAGATGAGAGTGAAGATTATACAAATGCAGAAAAAGCGTACTAAAAATTTCCAGATTTTTATGGCATAGCTTGCATGAGGAGGGACTTTTGTTAGTGGGTGACTGAGCTTTGACTATTTCCATTTGGGTTCCATCAAATAAGCAGTTATTTCGGGTTCTTTTTTTAGAACGAGCCTAGCCACTGCAATCTAACTCTTCACATTTCTGCTAGCTTAGATAAGCGAAATATATTCTCCAGGACATTGATTGTTTCAAATAAACCTCTTCAGGGTGTCAATCAAGTTTCAAACGATGGACGGAGAGGGCATGTGTGAGAAGCCGAGATTTGATTGGTAAGTAGAATTAGTGGGACGAAATGATAATAAGGTACAAGGGTTGCCCAATGATATTTGTTGACAAAAAATTTACTAAATCCACGCTCGGGTGGTGAAAATTGGTCTAAGAAAGTCAGTCATGTTAATAATGGTAATGATAATAAGAATGAGTGGAAAACGAGAATATGCAGAAACTTGGTTTGCAAATCTGGTAAAATTATCTTCATTTACATTGAATGCTCTAAACGGAATTCTCGTTTGTAGGTGTTAACTTTAGCGCACTACTTATACTCTTATTGCGCTTGTCACGACCAAAGAAAAATTGCTAAAAATTGTAAAAAAAACTAAAAAAGCACTGCTTTTCGTGCTTGGACGGACTTTTGGCGAAAATCGCAAACTTGATTCCCATTGCTTTAAATCCCACTTTACATTGTACGGGAGGTAGGAGTCAGGCATATCCAGGGGCAAATTATATTCCAAATTATGAGTTTTACATACAAGGATGAAATTCTAGAATGAGTATTTCTAAAAAAATTCGACTAATTTTTCTCCACTACTACTATGTTTACGAGAGGTTGGATAAAAAAGTGAGTCCAAAAGTGTCCAAATGAACATGACGGATTAAGTAGACGCTGATGAAAATGTTTAAAAAGTGTTAGAAATGAATTGAGCTCATCAAACTTGGATATTGACAGCAAAGCTACTAAAAATAGTCTTTTGGATAAAATTCAATTGTAAAAAGGGATTCTTGTCCCTTGCCTGTGGAAAAGTCGGTAGTCAGCGTAATGAAGGGGTGTGTCTTGTGTGGACTACGAGTAATTCGCAAGACTGGCATCAATGTGAAATTAGATGATGAGTTGAACAATTAATAAGGTTGATGTCTTTCCTACGTTTTCGTATGTCTAATATCATTTCATATGCATGGGTTGGAGTAAGATGTCTACGCAGATTACGTCGTTTGCTTTGATGTGTCAAATAAATCGGCTAAATAATTGGTTCATCACTGATAATGCTTAGTGGTGTTTTGCGCGGTTTATACTAAATTTGGAGGAGACAGCTTTGAAAATCCTTTGAAATTAAAAAAATTTGCTCATCATTTGTATCAGTGGTAAAATATTTGCTTTATCATACAGTTAATAAGGAAACATGGTGCCGTCTACGCACCTAGTCGTTGTTTTGGCGTCGCCTACATTGTGCTCACGCCTATTGCCTACCATTCCAATTATATGTTGGTAATGAAGCTTCCTTCGTGCTGGTTCATCATACTGAGTCTTTAAGGACAACTTGTGCCATAATTGAAAATGATGCAAGTCCAGTTCCTCAAGCTAACACCATTTGTATAGACATTTAAAGGTAAAGATTTCAACGAGCAACATGCGCTTATTCAGCTTTATCCCATAGCTATTTAGATCCTGCCTTATTTTGCAGTAAAATATGAATATGACGGCATCTCTTCTTACTTATGATCTCATGACAATTGTCACAATCGCGGAATGTCATTAGAGTAAAAATGAGAAGGTTTACGCCCTGGTTTATGTTTAGAAGGGCATTGAAAAAAGAATCACCTACCAATGCTTGCTCCTATAAATTGTGTGCTTGGTTTCCAAGACACGACATACCCGAGAATGAATTATTTTTAACTTTATCAGTCTTTACGTACTTAGGCAAAATCAAAGAAAGACTAATTCTAAAAACTTTCTAACCATTTTTATGCTGCTACTCTTACGTAATGCCAAATTTGGAAATTTAACAATTAACTGCTGCTTCAATGTTAGTAAAACTGTATAGTTCGGTTCTGTTAGGCAAAAATAACATTTCAAACGACTCAAACTTCCTGTTACACAGAGAGCTGGAGAAAGTCCTTCTTTCGATTTTCCACAAACCGCGCCAACCAGATTGACAACTAACGATATGGTGAGTGGAGGACATGCAAAAGCCAACTTGAAACTGACCTATCTTCCAGCAGTAGCCGCCTTTGCAAACAAATTCGGACAATGAGATCTTCGCGGCTTGATGAATAAATGCACCTTGGGATAGGATAGGATAATACAACAGTTCAGTGGCATACACTCCCTTATTGTTCATGACGAGTTAAAAG